GCCCAAATGTCTAAAATCCCTCTCATCCAGGAGGGAAGCAGTACCCTTTTGTACAAAACATCCTGATTTGGGAAGAAGCTGATCCTGACAGGGCATCCTAAATCCAGAGTGCACCCACTGCCCGGGGCCTGAATGCCAGAGGCCTCTCAGGTGAGTGTTAACACAGAACTGTTTTTTTTTTTTTTATTTTTTAATTTTGCCTCCTTCTTACTTGTGAGGGAAGAATCATGTTCCTGCCTGGTAAAATGGAGCTGCTGCGATCTTTCAGCTGGGCAGTTTCAGTGTGTGTGCATGCTCTCCATGCACTGTGCTCCTCAGAGCCCTCCCAGCAGAGCCTGGCAGCCAGTGCTGCACTACTGCTCCTTTCCAGCAGGACAAAAGCTCTGCCTGGGGAAACTGTCAGTGCACCATCAGGAGAGCTTCAGCTAAGAAATACCAGATGGTGTCTAATGGTGTCTAAAAGCCATTGAGGTGCATGACTCTGAAGCATCAGGCGGAAGAACTGCAATACTGTCGCAGACATCTTTTCATGAAAATCCTTTCTTAGGATTTTTCTTCCTGAGAAGCTGAGAGGCTTCAGGAACAAAATGTAAACAATGGTTATCTGCTGCCGTGGAATGCAACAGGTGCATCTGTGATTGGCCCATCTTGGATGTTTACAATTAATGGCCAACCACAGCCCAGTTAGCTTGGACTCTCTGTCTGAGACACAAATGTTTATTATTCATTCCTTTCTATTCTATTCTTAGCTAGCCTTCTGAGATGAAACTTTTCTTTCTATTCTTTTTAGTATAGTTTTAATGTAATATATATATCATAAAATAATAAATCAAGCCTTCTGAACATGGAGTCAACATTCTCGTCTCTTCCCTCACCTGAAAACCCCTGTAAAGACCATCACACAATACCCTTTATTCTTCAAAGAAACTTTTACCCTCAAAGATGTTTTTCCTAAACAAACATTCAATTTAATTACCAGGGAATTATTTCAAATTCCTATCTGGGCACCAGTGGGGGCAGACACTGCAGCTGCAGAAAGTGAATACTGCCTGGTTTTCTAGTAAATGCAGGCTGGTGGAGGGGGCTGCCATCCCTCAGAGCCACCTCAGCACCCAGACTGCAGGTCCTGGGGTCGCCCAGGTTTGTAGCCTGGTCACAAGTAGCTCTCCAGACAGCCTGCAGGGGTAGTGGTGTACTGGAGGTAGGAAATGTTAGCAGGATTTGGCTCATCAGAAATCGTTTCTTGAGGGGAAAGGAGAAGATGGAGATCCACTGCAGAACTTTGTCATCTATAATTGGATTTTCCCTTAGGTCTAACTAAAAATAAATTAGCTAATAGTATATTCAATTAATTTTGCCAAATTTGAGCAATTCTTTTAATTAGGAGGGCAGAACTTAATCTCACAGAAAACAGACAGTTTCCAAAGGCTGGCACAGGAGTATGCCACCTGAGTGTGTCCATAGGAATTGCTGTGAGATGGGGAACACACACAAACTTACACAGAAAATATAATTACGTGCAAGTAGTGGAGATAGCAGTGCAGTGTGAGCTATTTAACCTTGAGGAAGTGGCATCTGAGGTTGGGAAGACAGGTATTGTGGAGCTTTTCATTCTGTTAGTGAGAGACTGTCAAGCTAGTGTGTTACGATAAAATCAGAATTTCATTTCGGTGCTAAGGCTGGGCACATTAACTGAGCTTCCTTACACACATGTGGTGAGGAGAAGAGGGACTGCAGCTTTCACAGTCACGCTGCTGAGAAGTGTGTTTGTCTGTAGTTCAGCAAGTGCCACAGGAAGTTTATTTACTAAGCTTGGGAGGAAGCAGGAGGGGAGAGACCTGGTGTGGTTGTGGCTTTATTGATGTTACAGGGCAATGGCACTGGTTGCAGGCAGAAATTTCAGGGTGCAGAAAGGCATTGGGATCATTGAGCCTTTTGCCTTTCTCTCAGCACACCCCAGCATGAAAGGCCTTGGGGTGACAGACACAGAAACTCCACAGGTGTAAAACTCCCTCTTTTAGTGCCTGGCACCATGTATTTGTACATGATCAGACTTTGGAAAAGAGAGTGTTTAATTCTGATAGCTAGCTACTCCTCTTTGCTATCTTACTGACAGCACAAACAGACAAAAGACAAAGTAATGAAATGTTTTGCTGCTTCTCATTTTTAATTAAAGTAACTGTTAACCCACTGGCAGGTTAACAGAACTGTGTGTGGGATTACAAATTATAAAATTTGACAAAAAATTTCTTTTAACCTATTTTACAAACTAATTTTTTCATGTATTACGCATTTAATTCCATTTATCTCTGTCCTGTTGCTCAATAAAATAAGTATTTACTTCTCTCTTCTGTTATTAGAAAATCTGAACTAGGGAATGTGCTGAAGAGAGGAGTCAATGTTTCCCAGCTGAATCCAGCTGGATGGACACAAATCTGTTTTTTTTCTGAATGCTCCCTTACATAGATTCTGAAATATTAAGTATAAAACCACTAAAAGTACTGCACTAGTCAAAAAATCCAATCCCACACCAAAAAAGCCCCTCCCAAAAATAAAATAAAAAAACCCCATCACCAAACAAACAAACAGAAAAACATTCCCCATCCCCTGTAAAAAAAATAAATCGAACCCCACAAAAGAAAAAAAGGAAAAACAGAAGAAAAAAGGAAAAATAAAAGAAAAAGTTAAAAAGGAAACCCAGTATTTAGTTCTTCAGGAGTTTCCATAAAACCAGAGCATTTCAGAGGATTTTGAAACCATCGTTCTCCACAAGCTTACATGACAAATCATGTGTGATGACAAGTCCAAAAAATTATCAGGAGTCTTGTGATCTCTGGTGTTTTTTCCTTACAGTCTCAGTTTGTGTGACTAAACAATTCCTTGGCAAACCAGGCCTTCAGTTTTGGAAAAAGTTTGTAGCCCTTTGGCTGCAGAGCTAACCTCAGGGACCAGAAGTCTAGAGACTGAGTAAACAGAAAAATAATAAAAATGTTCATTTTAAAAAATCATGTGCTTTTCAAAACAACTTTATGAGTTTTGAGGCTTGTGGCATGGTTGTTGAGTGTGTTAATTTAGGAGTATCAGCTCACATTTGGGAGGATGAGCTCTTTCTTCCCTGTGTGTCAACATGGCACCACTCCTTGTGCTGGGGACAGTTATGGATACTCAGTTGATGCTCCAAGAAAATATGGCCCTGGACCTAAATCTTTAGTTTTTCCAGGCAGATTGTGGAGTTTTATTGTTCTTTTGTGGCGGAGAGCTGGTGTCCTGCAGCCTCAGATGAAAAGGTGGGTTAGGGTATCTAACCCAGCTGCTGCCCCTTCATTGTGATCAGAGGTCATGCCTTGGCCCAGCTTTGTTATGGAGTGAAATTTGGATAGTTTCTCAGATGAAAGAAATTGGGCTTTTTTTACTGTGTATTTTTTCTGCAACACTGTGCTGTTTGATCTGATTCCTGAAACGCAGCTGCTGCTGCAGAACCCAAACCTTTTCTGTGCAGCTGTTGGGAAGAGGGAAGACAGAGGACCCTCCCGCAGAAGCCCGCAGGGATAACCAGGAGTGTTGTATCACAAAATATCTCCTAAGTCTCAAAACTTTTTTCTTTTGAAACCCCAGCAATGGTCACTGTAGAGACTCATCTGTAGCTTCTGTGGCACCTTACAGCTGTGTTTAAATTAAATGTATATAATATAGGTTGGATATTAGGAAAAAGTTTTTCATGGAAGAGTGATAAAGTACTGGAACGGTCTGCCCAGGGAGGTGGTGGAGTCACCATCCCTGGATGTGTTAAAAAAAGACTGGATGTGGCATTTGGAGCCATGGTTTAGTTGAGGTGTCAGGGAACAGGCTGGACTCGATGATCTTGAAGGTCTCTCCCAACCTTGTGATTCTGTGATTCTGTATTTCTATTCTTATCCAAATTAACATATCACTCTCTAAATCTTTCCCCAAATTGCCACTGGTCAGAGGAGCAGCCTGTTTTAGTAACCTATTTCCACTCTGCAAAGCGTCCATTCATTATTAATATTTCTTGTCTCACAAAAAATTTTGCTTACGCCTTCCTCTTTACTTACTCAGCTTTTGAAACGTGTCTCTGGGGCAAATACCATAATCATTCCCTGCTTCCCTCTGACAAAGTAAGCTGCTAAATCATGGGTAGTGTGTACTTCTCTTCTATAAATTGCCACTGGCAGCTGCCTGAAGCCCTGGTTTGTGTCCCGGGCCCCCTCTGTACAGACACTGCAGCACTGCCCGCCCAGAGCTCCTCTCCCTCTCCCTCTCCCTCTCCCTCTCCCTCTCCAGCTCTCCCCTCCTCTTCCACCTGCTGATGCTCAGTGTGCAGCATTGCACAGAGCAGAGCCACCTTTGGAAAAGTCCCTTTGCAAAAGCTCCAGCTTATGACCCAAATTCTCAGTCCCCGTTAGGTGACACTAGAGCTGTTGTTGCTATAAAAAGAATTCTTCAGTGGTTGCCGCTCAGAGCTGTAGCCGTCCAGGAATATCACAGCAAAGCCACTTTCACATTTTCTGTGGGTTTTTTCCTGATTATCAGGATATAGGCTTTGCCACAGTGCTCTGCTTGACACTTCCAAAATGACATTAATAACTCAAGTGGTGAGAAATGTTGGATCTGCTGGACTTGCTTGCTGGGTGTGGGGCAATTACTCTCTCCTATCTCCCACCAGATATTCTGCTTTCTGTAGAAATAAGAATTTCTTTGATGTTTAAGACCTTGGCAGGACACAAAGAGGACTGTGAAACATTCAGTCTTTCCCCACTACAAAATTCAGCACAAACTCTCCTCCTGCCCCTCTGTAAAGGAGAACAATAATTGTGAAACAGTGTGTGTTGCCACCCACACTCAGACAAAGCTGACAGCCTCAGGAACAAGGGCTTTTAGTCTCCTGCCAGCCTCACCAAGGCAGCTGTCTACAGGAGCCTGGGCAAAGCCAGGAGACAGTGCAGCTGACAGTCAAGTCAAGCCCTGCTCTCCAAGTAGCCATGGCCAGTGGAGACAGCCCTGAGCAGCCTCCCTTGGGGCTGCTGGGCATGCAGGTACCCATGTTGGTCTGGTTCATTGCTTCTCCTTTTTTTCTTTTATTAATGCTGCAACTCCTCCCTCAATTTCAAGAGAGACTGGCTTACTTAATCAACAGGAAGTCTGAAAAACCCCGACCCATGAATAAGTGACCAGCTCCTTTGTAAGCACTGTGTCTTGTAAGCCAAGGCCAGCCTCTGCTGAGGCCGGCAGGGGGTGACAATGGGGACAGAGGCACTCAGGCCATCCCAGGGGATGCTTCTGCTCTGGGCTGCTGGGTAGCAGCTGCTCTTGGCTGGGAAAGGCAGTTGAGTTTGCAGAAAATCTGTAAAAGCTTTTGTTCTGTTATGGTTTTTCCAATTCGTGTTGCTCTGACCCTGACTGTCAACAAGAACACTCCACTATAGGGCTTCTAAATTAGTGACATGTTCTAAGTGAAAGGAGGGGCAATAAAACCCAAACAAAGAAGATATGACCCAGATATGTTTTTATTCCTCCTTTCTTCCCTCCCACCCTTTATAAGCAAAGAGATCACTTAGAGGGCACACAGCACCCAGAGAAAAGCTGCAGCTTAGTTGATCCCTTATTCTGTTGTGCTGCTGATGTGCATGATCCATGCTGGGAACAAGGGGTCACTTGTGAGAATTGGTGGCTGAGGGAATCTGGACCAAAGGGACTCACCCTGCACAGTGCTGTTCCCTGGAACTTGCACTAGCAGGAGCTCCATCAGAGATTGGGGTGAGCCAAAGTACAAAAAGAAGATGAAAAGGCTGATAGAGAAAAGGAGAAGGCCAATATAGAAGAAGATACAAGTCCTGTAGCCTGCACAAGAGAAGATGAAAGTGGGAGTTCCTTATAGCCTACAAATAAATGCCTGGAATACATTCAGAGAAGACTTAAAGGGTCATTATTTAAAAGAAGCAAGATAGTCAAGCAGCTGAACTTCAGATTCAGACAGGCTGGGGATATGCATTGGACTTGTTTACACAGGAGAAGGGGTTCCTCAAATCCAGACTGGACAGTCTGCAGGCAGAAATGCTGTAGGTCAACAGGAAGATTCTGCAGTTGGTACTGGAGGTATCTGGCTCAAAATAAAGCTCTGTGTTGGGTGAGGTAGCATATAAAAATGTAGGGATCTCTGAGATTGTAAATTATAGGTCAAGTGACAGGGAATAAATCAGGAGGGATTCCCTTTGTTACTCCCTGTGTTCATCACTGTACAGCTGGACACATGATATGAGCAACCTGATAGAGCTGAGGATGTTTGTATGCCTGAGGCCTTGATGGGACTCAATTAGTCTGAGCATTTAAGAAGAACTTCTGTATTTCCCTCTCAAAGGGTCAGAAGTTACTCATCCTAAACGGCTTTTGGCACTGCTGAGTGCCTCAGCTTTGATTTCATCCAATCAAGATTAAACTGATCTGCTACTCCTTGTAGTTTTCTCCAATTTTCTGTGCTCATAGGTCAGGCTCCAGCCCTACAAATGCTTAGGCACAAACCTTTATGCACATCAAATAGTCCCTCAGTGCAACTGCACTGGTCGGATGAAAGCACATCCTGAAGCCTTTGAAGGACTGAGGCCTGGAGTCCTGGAGGGAAGGTATTCTCAGCTTGTAATACCAGTTAAATATTAGGCACCCCTATGGCATGATGAAAATATAACAACTGCTGTTCAGTATTATTTTCTATATTGTGTACATTTTTTCTAAATGTTTTATAGCAGCACTGATGTTCAGGAGAACTGCAAAAGCTGTTTACTTTCCAAGTGCAGTAGTTTATCCTGTCAGAAGGGAGGGAGGGAGGGAGGGAGGGAGGGAGGAAGGAAGGAAGGAAGGAAGGAAGGAAGGAAGGAAGGAAGGAAGGAAGGAAGGAAGGAAGGAAGGAAGTGTCAGAAGGAAGTGTCGGAAGGAAGTGTCGGAAGGAAGTGTCGGAAGGAAGGAAGGAAGTGTCGGAAGGAAGGAAGTGTCGGAAGGAAGGAAGGAAGGAATGAAGGAAGTGTCGGAAGGAAGGAAGTGTCGGAAGGAAGGAAGTGTCGGAAGGAAGTGTCGGAAGGAAGTGTCGGAAGGAAGGAAGGAAGGAAGGAAGGAAGGAAGGAAGGAAGGAAGGAAGGAAGGAGAATAAAGGCAAGTATTTTCAACAGCAGTAATTGCTACTGTGACAGACATCTGCAGAAGGCAAGGGGAGAGCTGAGACACTGCTGTGCTGAGGGCTGCTTTAGCCACCACCAGCACCATGTCTGTCTTCTCATTGCTGGGAACTTGCTCTGATCTCAGGACCGGCTTACACAGGTTTCAGATCCTATCAGGCCTCTCATGCCACTGGCCTCTCCCTTTTCTTATGTGACTACTGATTTTAGGTCTCAGGTTGTTGTTTTAAGAGAGAGGGACAAACGAAGTTTTCTTTAAGCTCAGTTTGTTTTAAAGAAGTATCCATTGGATGCTCTGAATGGTTTGTCACATTTGGAAAGGCAAGCAAAGATATTCTACTGGGCCAGATTTCCATGCTGCCATGGCAACTCTGTTTGCAGGACCCCAGGTAGATATTTTAAAGGTGTACTTGGGTATTTTCAAGAGACCTACAAAGGGCTGACAGTCACGTAGACACAGTCTCAGTGTGCAGTTGAGAACAAAAGTTGGCAACTGCCAGATGACTATAAAACTGATTGAATAAAGTGATTTTTAATGACAGTAATTTCCTGATTTAATGCATAATAGGCAACTGCACTCTGTGTCCTGTTAGCAGAAGGTACATGGAAAAATGACCAGGTACATTTTAGACCCAGAGGCTGCCTCCCCACTATAATAAAACCGAGCAGAGATCATTACCTGGCCCTGAGGGCTGCAGGCACAGCACTGCTCATACCTCTACTAGTAAACTCACATCCCCAAAACTGGTTCAGTGTCTGCACCCTAACTCCTGCAAAGGGTGCCAGACCCATGCTGAGCCCTGTTTGCTTGGGAGAGTGCGAGCAGCTGGAGGCCCAGCATCACTGAGGAAAGGCTGAGCTTGGTTCATTGCTTTGAAGATGCCTGACGACCACGTGGGCTGTGCATGGAGCTGAGGTGTTACAATACATACATGAGCTGCTAAATTGAGATGGTGTGGCCACCCTGCCTGAAGTGGTGTGTCTTTTTGTCCTCCCCTCCAGCCTCCTCTCCGTCTGGGCAAAGTTCAGGCTGCCCGTACGTGTGTATGAGCAACGTGGGTGCTGAGTGAGACTTTGCTGAGATTTTAATTGACAGCTGAGCTTTACCCTTCTGTACCACTGCAGTTACATCCTCTGGGCTATGTCTGTGGGAGTGCATTTGCCCATGGCAAAGGTCTGGAGCGGGAGTTCTGCAGTCCATTTAATGTCACCTTCTCTCTGCTGTCATCATAACCCAGGCTGGGTGTCGGCAGTGCCGCTCATCCATGCGTGTGCACCCCGGGCTGCCTCCCAGCACGCTGTGACCTTGCCTTGAATCAGATACATGACTCAGGGAGGCTTTTTTGCCTCGGTTCTCCATTGTTTTTGTCAGGATCCAGCTGCAGTTGGGGCAGGACTAAGTCCTCTGAAAGGTTTTGAGTTAGTCTGAGCCCACTGTGGGGAAGAACTTCTGGAGGGCGGGAAAACCTGACAAGTACAGATTAGATATGAGCTTTTTCCTGTTGTTTCTGTGTCAGTGTAGAAACTCCACAGCATTATTATTTGCAGTTGTTTCCTTTATCTGCCTGCTGGCTTTCAGAGAGGAAATTTGCCTGTGTTTTGACACAGCAGTAAGAGTTACTGTATGAAACTGGACAAGACTATTGGAGGCACAATGCAAGCTCCCCACCATAAATATAGCAACTGTTCTAAATATCCTACTTCCAAACAGCATGCTTCAGGGAACATCTGCCATTGCCCACAGTTGCAACAACATCTCAAGTAAGCAGTTTCTAAATACCACTTTTGTGGGGGGATAGAATATAAGTAAATAAAAGTAGTATTGAAAGTAATCTTTAACCCCTAAAGAGTTGCAGCTGGGTTAATTGTAAAAGATTAGGAGAAGGCCTGACTTTTACAGGCCACAGCTGTAATCAATAAGAAGAGTGTTATAAAAGAGTGGATTGGTTGGTTGAGGGGAACTGGAGTCAGTTGGCTGCTGTGAGAAGAAGGAAGAGTCAGTGCCTGGAGGAGCTGCCTATGAGACACATCAAGGAGGTATGAAACTCTTGCACTAAGGAGACAACAATATGAAGCCTTTGCAATGTAATGACAACAACCTTTCATAGTTTCATAAGGAAAAAAAATCCAGGTGCCAGTTTATCTAACCTTACCTGGGTCTCTCAACAAATGCCACTTGGGGCTTCTTTTCTGTTGAATGTAGCTTAAGTGTTTGGAAACAGAAGCCAGAGCATTTATTTCGTCTGTTCAAAGTGAGTGAGTAATGTGAGCATATTCAACATCTTCAGAACAGTGAATCAGAACACTGGCAATGAATGAATTCTCCATACTCAGAGGTGCTCTGGTGAGTCTCTTTTACTTTTTTTTTTGTTGAAGCCCTCTTCATATTGAAAGGAAGAAGCTGGTAGAGGGTGCTGTGCTGGGCGGAGCTGACAAGTCAATGGTTGCTGGTGGGGAATTTCTTCTGTGACCTCACTCTGGGCCAAAGGGCCATCCTCTCTCATTGCCCCTCATATGATACAGGGAACCAAAGGCACTTTTCAGAGCCATCTGGATCATGGGCTCATCCTGACTGCCTGTGCCATGCTAATGGCTCTGCTGTGGTGCCAGCCCCAGAAACTCAGAGAGAAGGCCAGAAGGGCCTGTGGGGTCATCTGAGCATGTCTAAGCATTAAGTTTTACACCATACCTGGTCACCTAAGCTTTGGGAACAATTACTTGTTTCATTCAAGTAGTTGTGCCAGAGAGATGCCTAGACAGAAAACTCACACTTGGCCCATCAGATGTCACCCCCAAGATCCCAGCATGGTCACCAGAGACAAAAAGATACAGAGATACTCAAACAGATGCAATTCATTTCAGCCTGAAGAGGAAGTGTCTGTTAAAAGAAATTATCTGCACCATGAAATTACTTGTGGTTCTCCAGAAACAGAAAGGGTTCCTAGCTACTTGTACCTGTCCCCACTGGAGGACACTTAAGGGAATCTCACCTAAAACAAAGGCAAAGAACTGCCACATCCCTCCATATATTGTGTTGTAGCTCATTCTGTTAAATACAAGAATTTGTCTGGATTGAGGTTCCCATTGTTGTGTCTTCCTATCCCCTCTCTTTCTTTGGTTAAAGGGTCTCTTGGTACCTTGGTAGCCTTCCCTCTGAGAGTCTGGCGCATAGATAAACATACATGACCTGTTAGTCTTATGAGAAAAAACCCCAACATTTTTCCCTTAAAATGAACCTCTTTCTTTTCATGCATGAAGATTCCCACAGAAGGGGGATGTTGCCATCACTGAAGCTGGTTTACAGTTTTGGTGAGACAGGCTCTGAGGCAGGAATCCAACCTTTGGGATGTCTGGATGAGATCCCAGATGAATTGGATTCCCCAGGAAATGTCAGGGTTACTGCTTGTTTCTGAACTCATTTAGGAGAGCAAACATGTGTTTGACTGAAATAAAAAACCAAGACACTGCTGCAATTTTTTCCCCCTGATATTAAACAAGTGTTTAATTTAAAGAAAAAAATCTGACAGATGGCAGGGCTGTACCTAATGCAAGACTGAGCATTTCTCCAGTGAATTTAAGGTGGTCTGAAAGAGATCTAAAAAGGCAAGGGGTGGAGGGATAGATGCATTATTGAGAATATATAAAAGAAAGCCCTAATATCTTTCTTGCTTTAGATTACATGGGGGAGGTTTTCTTCCTTTGTCCCAATTAGCCATGCCTGTTTTATTCAGAAGCCTCCTGGATGTCTGCCTGGGTACTCCAGGGTGTCCTTCCTCTGGTAACTGGTCAGCAGGAATGGCAGGATGAGGTATTAGGTGCAGTGCCTGCACCCCTCAGCTGTAGCTGAGGTCTCCAAGGCAGGAGGCCAGAGCAGTGATGAGGGGATGTTGTCATTTTATTGCAGAGGTTCCATACTGTTGTCTCCTTATCACAAAACTTTCATACTTTCTTGATGTTTTCTCATTGGCAACTCTTCAGAGCACTGACTCTTTCTTCCTCACAAAGCAGCCAACTGACTCCAATCCCCTTCTCAACCAGCCAGCCACTCTTTTGTAGCACTCTTCTTCTCACTGGTTACAGCTGTGGCCTGGTAAACTCAGGCCTGTTCCTAATCTTTGATAATTGGCCCAGCTGCAGCTCCTTAGGGGTAAGATTACTTTCTACACTGTCTTTATTTTCTTATATTCTATTCCCCTACATGGGGACACCTGCCTCATGAATGATCTGGCTCCAGCAGCACTAAACCTTCTGTTTCTCTCTCCCATTTAGATTTCCTTGGTTTTGCTTTCTGCCACTGCATTGTCCCACTTGGAGTGAGCACCACATCCCCCACCACATGGGGAGACAGAATTGTAACGAGGCAAAAAACCATAAGGTGATATCTCTGAGACGCAACTTTTGCAGAATAGATATGGAGAGTTTCGTAGCTCTCAATAGGTCATGACAGATTTATAGAAAATGTGAATGAAATACTCCTTTAAGCAAAACAGTACTGAAAACCTTAGATCCCAGACACATTATTCTCTTGTTTGAACTGTCCTGTGGGCTTTTCTGGATTGGAAATGTCTGATTCAGGTGCAATCTTTCACCAGGAGACTTCTGACTTAACCCCTTCCTGTTTTTTTTTCCTATCCTTCCCCTTCCAACCACATGGCAAATGAGACTTGGGCAAGTCACCTGCTGATTCCTTCCTACTATTTCTTCTCTTTCATCTTGATGGTGAACATGTTATTTGGATAAAGTAAATGGACATAGTTGTGCAACAGAGGTGTTTGCTTTTCGCCTGATGATTTACAGGGAATTCTGCAGTAGGCATGCAAGAGGAAGGATAACTGTACAACTGAATTGTTGAGGGGGTCAACCCAACATAACTCAGCTGCATTTTCCTGCAAGCTGGGCAAGCTTGCAATCCCTCTTTTGAATTGATGTGGAGTTTTGATTGGATGTTTGTAGATTTTGATGCCTTTTCTCTAAAGGAAAATGAAAAAAAAAAGTGAAGGCTGAGTTTCCCATAGGTTTTTAACTTTGATACAAATACGCTGAGGTGAGATTCTAAAGTAGAAAAATCAAGAAATTTCATACCTGTCATTTCCATACCCTTGTCATAAACAGGTGTGGGTTTTTTTCTTGGATAATTCATTGTTTTGTAGACCCTGAAAGACATAGCCTGAGGGCTGAGATAAGAACTCTCTTATGTCCTTTCCAAAGTCTTCCCTTTCAAGCATCTGAACATGGGCTGTTACCATCTTTGTGAACCCTGGACCCTGGCCAGATCTGCCGTGCCCGCCCAGCATTTGCTCTTTGGACTATCTACCACTGGTACCCCAGATTCTGCCGTTTTTAACGTACCTGTTAAATGAAGGAATAAATCCTTTCAGCCTTGAAACTTGGAGCAGCTTCCTTGTATGCAGAAGGAGGGATGTGGTGGTGACCTTCTTCATTCATGAAGAGAACGGAGCAGAGATGATGCCACCAGCAGGGAGAGGAGCAGGCACAGCCTCCCTTCCCCTTTCTAGCTGTTTCACTTCCTGAGACACTTGGCATGAAAAATGGACACCAGGTCTGACCGGTGCCCTACAATTTATGTGTGCTTCTGTGTCTGTAGAGAGCATCATATACTTTTCCTGTAGAGACCAAAGAGATGAGTTTGTTTCGGTGCCAAAATAAATCCAGAGGTAGCAATGTGAATGCATTAGTATTTATGTGGGATTTTTTTTTTTTAAGGTTAATAAGGTATGTACTGTAAATAAAATTTAAAAAAAAACCCCATCCAACTGATGGCTTGGGAAAAAAATACAACTCTTTTTTTGTGTCTTTCCCATGCCTTACCCTCAAGGAAGGTTTGGGCAGGACATTGACTAGGACCTTATTTTCATTTCCATCAGGAATGTTTTTTAGCTGGCACACAAACTACATGTGTAAATAGTTCAGGAGCTTGGGAAGCTGCTTTACTATTTCCTCCTATAACTAACAATGGAAACCCTTTGAGAACTGTACAAGCCTCAGCGGACATTCACATGTCTCCTGACATTGCAGGATTAGCTGCCTTGCTCAAATATTTATCCTGACAGCGCTTCTCCCTGAGGAGCAGCTGCCTGCCTGCTCTGCAAAGCAGCCCAGCTGTGGGGGAGAAAGGGAGGAGAGGCTGGAGCTGCCAGCGCTGGGGTGCCCACAGAGCTGGGCCATGAGGAGAAAAGCTGATTTGCAAGTATGGTTTGGGCTGATCTGAGTTTGTTCTGTCACAGTGGATTCAGCATCAAACTGGAAAGAGCAGAGCTGCAGCACTGTGTGCAGAATCAGCCAATTCCAGCGTGTAATAGGTTAGCTCGGTGCAGTTGAGCTTCTTTGCCTTGCTCGGTGGGCACCCAATTTGTCTTCATTTTTATTCCTTCACTTTGGCCTGCTTTTTGCAGCCTGTCCCTTTCTGGATTGATTGCACAGAGCCTGCCCCACGGAGCGAGGCAGAGCACAGACTGAACCTGTTCAGTGTATGCAGATATTTTTAAATGATCTGTTAACCAGAAATGTGGAAACTCAGGCTGTTGTTGATGACAAATATTCAACTTTAAAAATTCTGAGAATTCCTAGTTTCACAGTTCAGAGATGTGTGCTTTGGAATACAAGCACTTTATGGCATCTTTTCTGTATTTAAGGTGTGTTCGAAGGAAAATAGGATAGAGACAACTACCTGCATTAATCAGTTTTGAAAATGGGACCTAGTCTTAAACCTGCATGTAAATTTCTTCATATATGATGTCTCCTATTATAGCTCAGAGAAACTTTATGAGTTAGTTTGGAAGCAGAGCACAGCTGAAACAGAAACAGTGGCACACTGTGGGGAACATTGTATAGCTGCCATTGTACAAAGCATTCCTGCCCTTCCAACAGCGACCTCAGTGTTGCACATGCTATTACTGAAGCGAGTATGCAGGACAAGATGAACTTCTGTCTCGTTAGAAATACCTCCATCATCCTGGGAGAGGTTCCTTAGTTTTTTGAGAATGTGCTGTTGCTGGTGGTGCTCCAGGAGGAACATTTTTGAGTGCAACTCTTGTCTGAAAATCAATTTGAAGAGAAGCAAAAATGTCCCAAATTTGCAATAGCTGAGCAGCTGACCAGCAGAGAAGAGAGGAACCTCACGAAAGTACATTGGTGGTGGGTGGATGATTCCTCTGCAAGGACTGTCACAGCTCCTGGCCTCAGGCTTCCAGCTGGGAACTTCACCACACCTTTGAGCATGGCTAATCCCAGGACCTGTGCATGCCATGCTGCCTGCCACTCCCAGCAGGGAGATGTCTGTGCCTCAGTGTGCCGGAGTTGCCAGCAATAGCAAACAGAGCTCCTAGCAAAATCCATCAGTGTTTTTGGAGCACTGTTGTTTTGAAGAAGGCAGCTTCCTTCCAAAACCCAAGTGAGAAAACAGCATCTGAGACAAGGGTGAGCCAAGGGCAATATGTTGCCATATAATGTTCCTATTCCTTTTACCCATCTATTTATTTATTTGAATGAAGAGACACAAAGTGTAGGTTTGACTGAAACAGAGGAGTCCTCTCTGCAACATCCATGCCCAAAGAACAATGAAAGAGGACAACGTGCAAAAATCTTCCTGCCAAAAGGTGAACTCCCAGATCTGATGTGGATATGGAACTAAAACCCACTTACTAGGAATGACCAAACCCAACCCTGGCTTTGATGGATTTTATTGCAGTAACTCCACCAAGCCCAGTAGGGAGTATTGAGAATCCTGGCCCAAAACAAGTGTCAGTAACTAGTACCTCTGGCATTTTGTCAAAGACCTTGTATCCAGTTAGAATGCATGGTTATATCAATTTATAGGTTTATAACTCATACTTCTCCATCTCTTAAGACAATGGATTTACATGGCATATTTCACGGAGAGGAATATGATTTTTTTTCACCAAAGAGATGTGTGCAGTATGTAGAGGTCACTGAATATACAACTAAATTACATTTCCATTCAGGGTGGTATTAGAATGGCACCAGATAGCAGAGCAGGTTTAGTTCAGGAAATGAATGATGCTTTATGTAATCAAATCTGCAAGGGAGATTTGGCAAGGAGGATGCACACAGACAAACTACAGCTGAGTCTGGACATGGCATTAAAAACGTTAGTTCTCAAGTTGTAGACGATCCCTAAAAACCAGCAGGAGAGGAAAAGGGCAGATCATATCTATTTATTGAAATCAGAGCCAATACTAGCAGAGACACAGAGTCCCATACTCAGTAGTCAAAACTCCTATTTATGCATAAGAGTTAGTGCTGCTGTCTTTGTGGTCTTATGGCTACTTATGCATGCAGGGATCAGTGCTGCAGTGCAAGGTCTAGCCTCATTTAAGTGCATTTTTTAGGGAAAGGCAGTGAAGGCATGTTGTTGTCCTGGAGAACCGAGTCCTACTATAGCAGGAGTGGTGCTCCTAGTAGCAGGCCCTTCTCAGGCTGAAGAGGTGTGCTGATTGATTTGCACACATGTGAGCATTCATCCAGCCACTTAAAATGACATTTTTATGTGTTATATCACCAGAATGTCTTCCTCAGGGAGGAACATTCCTCCCACTCCTTCCAAACCCAACATTTTCTATCAATCAGCTTAATTATACTCTAACCACAATTTTGAAGTTTCATTCTCTAAAGCTCAGATAACATGTTCTCCAGGTGATTCCAACAAAATACACCATATAAAACCAATGGGTAATCCTGCAGAAGTATGTCTCTCCTATTTCCCAAGACTCGGGACCATTATTAACATCAGACCAGTCTTTGCCAGCTCACAAACAGCATTCCCAGTCCTGCACTGGTCACATTTTTAATCTCTGCAATGTGAAGAGAAAAGGCACATTTCAAATGAATGCTGTGTGTTCCCCTTGCAGTACTAGAAGAAGAATGGATGTGCCAGACCTCTGGTCTTCCTCACTTCTTACAGGCTGGAGAGGGAAAGAGGTGTCTTTGGGCTGCAAGAGAAAACTGAACCTGGAATGGCCTCAGACAGCCGGCACTGCTCATTATTATCCCTCTGAAAGGCTGCCAGGAGAGGTTTAGCAGCCTCCACCCTTGGAGGTTTTCCAGATCCAAATAGACAGAGCCATGAATAAATGATCTCAGAAGGAACCCTGCATGAGCTGGGCTTGGACTAGAGACCCCCTGGGCCCTCTTCCAGCCTCAGCTACCTTCTGATTCTATGAAAGAAGCTATGTTTTGATGGGATACAGAAGAGACTTCAGAGAAACCTGTGTGCTATGTTCATAAGATTTCAAGGGGAAACACAAGCTTCAGTCTGCCCTGCCATGCAGCAGAGTAACATAATGAAATGGTCTGCTGCATCCACTTGTCACCCAGGTACTGCCTGACCTTCATCTTGAGTTATGTGACAAAGAGATTGTGCTAAAGTAAAGCGGTTTTTCAGCGTTTTACAGCTAAATGCTCAAGAGTTTGGAGGGGCGGTTCTGGCTGCATTTGTAACCACAGAGGGCATGTGGTGCTCCAAGTCCAGGAGCCGAACAGAAATGCTTGGACTGGATTTGATTCCCTGCTCCCACTGCTGCTTCTGTCCACGCATGGCTGCAGCGTCAGTGTGGTCTTTGGCAGCCTCCCCTAGTAGCTCTTGGGCTTCAGGAGGTGCCTGAGCAAGGACAAATGGGAAAGAAAAACATTTACCAGGGCACCACCAACAGCACTGCTGCAGCTCTGGAGCATTTGTCTTACCCTGAAGACCCTCATTTGTTAGCTTAAAAATCAAACACATCCCCTTGATACTATTAAGGGGGAGGGAATTTGGACATTTGAGCTATCTTGTCCTTAAATGCCATGACACAGCAATAAGTCAAGGTGCGTACTTCAGGGAAAAATACATTATAGTTTGGGCTTTCCCATGGAAAGAAAGAGTGCTGAATGAGTAGCAGCATTTTAACACTTTGTAGCATCTCCTTCCCTCTTTAGAGGGCAGGTACTGATTGTGGATTTTTATGCAGTGATTTGCTAGGCACAATACATTAGAAATTTTGAAGAACTCTGCTTTCTCCATCTCAGAAAATACATGTATTTGGGGCTCTGCCCTTCAGATTTCAGAAATTCCTGCAATATAGATTTAAAGACAAGTTAAAAATAACACTGCATTTCCAGCAGCAAGACTTTAAGAATCAGATGTCACCCTACCCGACCTCAATTAAGTCTGGCTGAATCAGCTGGATGGGATCAAGCAGGGTGTGAAAATCTGTATTCTAGCAGTGGGCAGAGAGACGAAGGCCAGTTGGAAATTTCAGTGTGAAGCTGGTTCAGTATGAAGAGGAGAATTTCAAGTGTGAATGCGTGTATGTGTTCCTGCATGTGCTGGGGAAAGTTGGCTTGGCAAGGGAGACAGAGGAGAGCTTTGTGTTCAGTGCTTCCTCTGACACAGCTCAGCCTGTTCCCTATCTCCCAGTTTCACTTCTGAATGTGCAGAAACATGCGGTGGCTCCTTGTTCCCACCATCTTCATCATCCCTTATACTCAACAGGTAAGTTCATTAAAAAGAAGATTTTCCCTTTCCTCACCTTGTCCCGGTTAAAAGTTTTTATTTGCTTTATGACAAATTAAATTTCAGAGAAGTAAATTCCTCATAAAGAATAAGGAGCCATTCCCTACTCGGCAGTAAATTTCATTTGCAGCTTATTTGCTGCATCGGTTAGGTTTTGGTAATTTTTTTTCTCTCTGTACATTGGTATGACTTAGTGGGAAGAAAAAAGTGTTAGGGAAGCTTAAATTGTCACTGACCTTGCTTTGTTTTTTTCTTTTTTTCTTTCTTTTTTTTTTTTAAATAAGCAAAAATTACTACTTGATGCAGTAAGAAAGTAAACATCTTACTCATGCTCATCTTCCGTATATACATATATACATGTGTTTGCAAATATATATAAACACATGCAGCAGTCTGACTTCAGCCTAGTTTTACAAACAAGAAAAGAACCTGGCCTGTGCTATACTTCGTCTCTTATGAGACAATTTTAAGTGATAGCTTTTTCTAAAGGGATTTGTGTCAAAGGCCAATTTCATTACTTACTTACCTAATTTTGAAAATCCACTTTATGTGTATACAGTGTATTTTTCCTTTACAATTAAGATGAATGTCAACAGAATTTTCAAATGGCTGTCTCCCTCCCCTTTCTGCCTATTTAAAGCTAGTCTAAGATAATCAAACATTAGTGATAATACATTGCCTATTTTGATATTTGCTTATATATGCCATACTGACCTTGTTCAATCTTTAAAACATGGGAAAACAAACAAAACATGAAGAGTTCTTACACAGTGGTCTCATTTTCTGATCTGCCTATAGGATCAGGAAAAGTATGCAAGGGGCTTGTGTGATGTGAATAGCTTTAATTTGTGCTGGGGAAGCACAAATTAGAAAAATATTTAACTTGTAAACTGTACAAGCAAACTTTACATTTTCATTGTTACTTAATAGATGTATGAAGATTTTTCATGTCAGCTGAAGTTCTCAGTAATTCCACAGTTAAAACTGTCAGATATTCACCTGATTGGTGTTTTTCTTACTTTGTAAGGACTTTTTTGTCTCCCACCTTTCAGCAGACATCTCTCCCTAAAAAAAGGAGAGAAAACTCCCCTAAGTAGAAGTTGGTAGGTTTAAAGCATGTTTCAATTTGTAATACAAATTAAACATATTGGTTGAAGCTCATAAGATTACTTCCTGCTACACATACCCATTTTGAAACATGATACCTGATTCAAGCCACATAACTTCATATTGCTGGCATATGGCCAAATTCCTGATGATAATAATAACAAAAATAATAATAATATTCTGCTTCTAAAGAAAGAAGCAGCAAGGAACTGTTTCCTAAAGCAGATGCATTGTCTTAAACACTGCTAAATGTACAGGAACCTGCTTGTCTTGTTTCCAGAACAATTCTTTAAGAACCCTTATATTCCAATGCACACATTCATCAAATTAACATTATGGTTTACAGGAAAGGCTTAGCTGCCCTAAAAAGTGTACTTGAGTTAATTGTTTCTGTATTATTGCTGAATTTAGGTAGAAAGGATTAGAAGAAATCCTTTAACAAATGACACATTTATGAAACTATCTTCTTCATACTGCATGAAATACCCCATGACATTGTTTAACATCCATCTACTATGTGAATTGCTTATGTAAATAATATCTAGCTTAAAAATCATTCAGCCAAAGGAACTTGAAAGCTACTACTTTGGAGCTTCATTAGTGGCTGCAGATTAAGATATCATAAGTATAGTTGTAAATGACCATGAAAAATGGAAATTAGGGGTAGAAAAAAGGCTTTTAAAAGGTCATTTACTACTGCATTCAATTAAGCCAGCTCAATTATGCTGCAAGAGCTTTCCTGGGCTATGGCATATGAAATGCTGAATTCTGCAGATACTTCCAGTTTGGAAATTGGGCAGCAAGGAACCCCAGCTGAATGAGCCCTTTCCCTCAGCATCTCTGCTGGAGGTGATCTCTACACCAGTAGATCTTTGCAGTTTGCAGTAACAGACAAAAACTGATAGGCTGGGCTTCACATGCCCAGAAAAAAACCCAGGATATATGTTCTGGGTGTTTTTCTGCAAGCTTGATGGTGATATTGGCACATGATGAAGGGCTTGGTCTTCTTTCCCTTTTGCTCTTTGGGCTGTCAGAGCTGTGTGATGAGAGTGGTTTCCAGGCCCTGTGCTGTTTAGTGGCCAAGTGCTGTGCAAGCCCCCACTTAACTACAGAACCAGTCATCCATGGAGAGTAACTATACCAAAATCTGCATTTCTGCTGAAATCAGCAGCATGAAAACATTGAATGCTAAGATCTAAACTGCTAGGTTTTAGTTGTAGTTCTTAAAAAATGCAGATGGACTACAGCTGTCTCAAATAGATCCTTTCACACTGTGCTAACTTAATCTGCCCCAATACCTCAGAAAAATAAGTCCATCAAGAATTAGTTTGTCCTTCCTTTACTTAAAAAAAAGAAAAAAATAAAAAAAGGAAAAAAGAGAAAAAGACATGAATTCTGAGACAGAATGTGTAAACCAGTAAATTCTGGCTAGACCTTAGCTTCCTGCTGCCGATACAAATCTCTTTAATAAGATGTGTTTTTGCTCTGTAAGCTCTGGATTCAATGAATTCAATGAAGGCTTAGTCATGCAAATAAATGCACTCCTAGAAAGTGACCTATTAAACTCAGTACAGCTACTTGCCTACCTTACTAGGATTAATTTTTTGCATCTAGCACAAGAGCATTTGTAAATATTATAATGCTCCTTCCCAAGCATCTACTCAAATTTTGGAGCAAAAGTAACATTGAAAAGAGGTTCCCTTTTTTATAGGGGTCTTGCCATCAGAACTGGCACACAGGACTGTGGCTGGCTATAAAACACTGTAAGGAATCAAAAGCTATTTAATTTGATAGAAGGTTTCTAGGAAGAAATACTTAACCACTAAAACCACCATCTACTTTAGAATACTTTTTAAAAAACTTCTGTTCAGTTTTGTTCTATAGAAGGCAAAGGAAAAACTGAATTGTGTTTTGTACAAGCAGTAGGCCAGGCTCACTGGTGGAACACCTCAGTGTACCACACTGATGGAAATGGTCCTCTGCCTTCTACCTAATCCTCATAGCCTCCCTCACCCTTTGATCTTGTGAAATGAGAAATGTTGTGCATTTTCATGCAACTTGTCAGTTTTTTCCGTCTTGACTTCATTTTATGCTATTCCAGCTACACGTACTGCATTCAGTGCTCAAAATAGCCCACTCTGTGTAAGTTTTTCCACAGCCCACCAGAGCAGCCTGGAGATAAACCTTCAGAAACGGGTGAAGTCCAGCGCAAGGAGGTTTGCCGCTGGCCGTGCCGCTGCCCGCCGGTGCCAGCCTGCAGCCCCGGGGTCAGCCTGGTGAAGGACGGCTGTGGCTGCTGTAAGGTCTGTGCCAAGCAGGCAGGAGAGCCCTGCAATGAAGCAGATGTCTGTGATCCCCACAAAGGGCTCTACTGTGACTACTCGGAAGACGAGCCTAGGTATGAAACAGGCGTGTGTGCATGTAAGTTGCTCCTTCATGTTCCCTTCTTGAAATCCAAGAGGGTGGGGACCACCAGGTGAATGGTTTTGGAGGAAAATTCTGCTTGCAGGTGCTGCACAGCTCTGTGCTAAAGAATTCATCCTAATTTAGTCCTCCAACTGCTCAGTCAGAGAATCTGAGAGTAGGGCTGGGACTGTATTTCAACTTACCTGCATTAGTGAAACCAGGTCATTGCGCACAAGCCTGTTATTGGCAGACATATTGATGTCCGATTTGCAAAGCTGTGGATGTCATAAAGACTGACCACATTTTAGCACCCTGTTTAGCAAGACCCGCGTGCTCTTCCCATGTTAGTAACTGCTGTTCACCATTTGCAGATCTGGTAGCTGTAGGATGTGAGCTCAATGGAGTTTATTACACCAACGGGCAGACCTTTCAGCCCAACCGGCTTTACAAGTGCCTGTGTGTCGGTGGTACAATCGGATGTACCCCTGCATTCACACCAAGATTAGCAGGAAGCCCCTGCGCCAGGGTACCGGGCAGAAAGAAGCCAGGACAATCCAGCTGTGGCCTGGGACAGCACAAGCAACTTCAATCAACCAACTACAGACTGATGTCAGGTGAGCCTGACTACACTGGTAAACTTTTCTGCACATGAGCCTTTCTGCATTTAGTGTCCCTGGCTCCAGCAGCCACGCAGGCAGCACACTGGCACTTGCCCAATTCTTGTTCAAGGCTTTTGCAAGAGTGACTGTTGTGTCCCACTTACCCCTCTTACTCTCAGGTCATAGACTCATTTCTCTAAACCTAATAAATGTGAAAGGCAGAAAGGCTTTTGGCTTCTGTCACCAGGGAATTGGCCAAAGCATCTTTCTGCAGAGGTCTGCAGCTCATCAGATCAGCCCAATTAGGGATGCTGCTGGACAGCCATTTTGCAGCCTGGGAACTGCCCCAGTTTTTCCTACTTTGTGGTGTTAGCCACTCTTGGCTTTCACATACATATATTAACAAAACACAGGTCTCTTCTTTCAATAGAAAGCAGAAAATGATAAAAATTGCCTTAGTGGCTTTCCTGCATTCACAAATTTTGGTCACTGCAAGAACAATACCCGCCCCAGTTCTTTATTCAGTCTGATCAAAAGCATTCATCAGCTTGTCCATGCAGCTCTGCCAAGGCCAGTGGATATTCCCTTTAAGTCCATTCTTACTCTGCAGCTAACACTAGTTCTCTTTTGCACTCTAAGGCAGGACCATTGCCAGAAGCAGCTATGCCAGCCCTTCCCTGCCCACAGCTGCTATGCTTGTGCCATCTCCTTCCCTGTGCATGTGCAACCTTCCATGGTGAAAGTCATCTTTGTTACAGCTAATGCAGGTACCAGAAAGCAGAGCCATTTATTTGGTGGCAGACTGAATCAGCATCATGGATCAATGAAATAAAAGGATTGCAACACTTACCAGAAAAACTTTATCAAAGGCTGCTGAGTAGATGCACATCAATCAATCTGCAGGTAAATAGACCTGCTTACAAAACCTGAAGTCCAGTTTGGACAACTTCTCACATGTAAGCAGTGGTCACACAAGTAAGGCAAATTAAAAAAATAAAATCAACCTTACTTCAAATTATGATTCTGGAATTTGGATCAGCTGTACAGCATAGTCTTCAGAGCAGACACCCAGCTGGCAAAGCACACTTTCTGTTGGGCTCAGTTCAGGGACCCAACACCCTGTCCCTGTGGTGGCTGTACGATGCTGCTCTTTGGGAGCCTTCTGAACAAAAACACCAGGAAATTTTTTTCCAAGTAAAGTCTTCCCCCTCCCAGTCCAGCAGAATTATCTTGTCAACTTGTCCATAAATTCCATGGATGGCTCAATGGGCTAATATGTATTTTGAAAAGTCCCTTTTCTGTTAGAGTGGATAGTAAGTGCTAAGTTTCATTTTACTCCTCTTGCTTTGTTTTCTGGCTTTCTATTCAATTTGATTTACCTAATTCAGATACACAGAGATGTAACTAGGTCATACTTTAAAAAATGTAACAAGTATAAACAACCATTTAACTTCCTTTTATTTGTTGCAGATCTGTGACAGGCTTTTAAAATGCTTACTTCAATGAAATCTTTAAATTGCTGTCTACTTTCTAAGTAGACAGCAGTTCTGGTAATTCCAGGTAATTCTGCATGTGCTCTTATATAAATGCACAGATTCCACACAGACTTTCTGTAGAACTTTTCCACGGCAATTTTGTTTCATTTTTAAGTATACTCCACCTAATCCAGTCCTTGGGCTTTTTAGTGGTATCAAAAAGTGATTGGAAAATTTTATTCCTCAATACAAAATCTAAAGTCTTATCAATATCTACAAAGACACAAATATTAATGTTCTCAGCAGTCTTCATAAACTATGCTTGGTCTAAAATAAAAGAAAAATCTGGACATTTCATAAAAATTCCACAATTAACTCTTTTCACACATTTCCATCACATTAAACTATGCAATTTCATAGTCCTTGGTAGGATCTGAGTATCCAGTATCACCAAAGTGTAACTGCAGCTCAGCTGAATTTTGTATACATGTTATTTATGTCTTATTTCTAGGTTTACCTACAGAAGTACCTTCATGAACAGAAATCAAATTCTTATCCTTGTATTTTCAATTCAAACTTTAGGGGCTGCATAAATAAAATATTGCTGTCTTAGCTTACAGAAGCTTACCACTAGTTTTGAAGAAAAAGTGCCTCATACAGGCAACTCCCTGGACACCCTGTTCCAGGACCTGTGGCATAGGCATATCCAGCAGAGTGACCAATGACAACAGAAAATGTGAAATGAAGAAAGAAAAGAGATTATGCTTCATCCAGCCTTGTTTGACCAATATGTTGAAGAAAATAAAGGTATTTTCTATCATAAAATTAGTTCATAATAGAAAATGAAAATATTGGAACTAATGGAAAAATGGATGCATTAGCAAGTACTAATAAAACATTAACTTCTTTCTTTTTTATGGGTTCTAAAATAACTCTTCTATGTTTTTTAACATTAATGTTCATGTTTCAATAGCAAACTATAGATGTGCAATTTCAAACAAAAGAATGTAATGTCCTGAAATGTAAGTGCTGCTAATGCTGTCCTGATGGACAGTCACTCTGAAAGTATCTCCTGTTTGTTGACTGACAAAGGAAAAAACAGACAGCTTTCAGACTGAGTAACTTCCAAGATATTTCTAAGTAAATGTTGCAACTTTTTCTTACATGATCTGCAATTAATGTTCAGGGTTTTCTTTGTTTTGATAGATTCCAAAGGGAAAAACATGTCAACCAACTTTCCAGCTTCCAACAGCAGAGAAGATAGTTTTTTCCGGGTGCTCAACTACTCAAAGATATAAACTGACTTTCTGTGGAGTGTGCTTGGACAAGAGGTGCTGCATCCCTAACAAGTCCAAAATGATCACTGTACAGTTTGAGTGTCCCAACGAAGGCTTCTTCAGGTGGAAGATGATGTGGATAACATCATGTGTGTGCCAGAGGATTTGCAGTGCTCCTGGAGATATATTTTCCCAACTCAAACTCCTATGACAAATTACACCATTGACTGTAACACAGGGAGTGCAACAGCACATTCACACCCGGAAGAGTCAGCACAACTCCCCGCCACAGCAGTGTTTATCATGAAACTACAGAAGTGAATATTCACTCATTTATTAAATAGCACCTGTAAAACGCCAGAGGGCATCTTTTTAAATGTAACTGTTTTTACATGAGGAGATACATTCCTGAGGATGTATCCGACACTAGCAGTGCTCAAACAAGAACTCTGGGTGACTGTGAAAGGTACAGCAAGAGGGCTTCATACGCCACTGTAACAAGCTTTTGCCTACAAATACACATAGATGCTCCAGCCTCTTGGGAAAAAAACTGCCCTGTAATACTTCATCTATCATTCTTCATTCTTAAATTAATATTTTCTGCTATACATCTGAAATAGTGAAACACATCAATGCTGAAACATTGAAACAGAAGTTGCCAACTTCAATCTCAGACTGCTTTTTGCAACAGACAGTCTCTAGTGTCATGGATATAAACACTGGATGTGCAAAGGAACAAGAAAGTGGGCAACTGCAGATAACAGATGCAAGACGTAAGAAAATTTACAGTTTTAGAACATTTTCTTAAAAATGCTCTCAACAAATGTTATCACAATACTTTATTGAATACTTCTGGGCTTACACATTCAAAATTGTGCTTACTTACATATCCACTCCAACCACACTAGAAGGGCTACAAATTTCAAGAAATCAATCCATTCTGATCTGTAACAGCTCACTGGCAAGCAACTGGAAATAGCTGTACATTCTATTTTGGAAAAATTCTCACTGTAATATAAAAAGCTGCTTGATACCCCAATAATTATAAATATTAAAACATCTATTTTACTTGTATTCTTTCAAGGCTATAAGTGTTTTTCTCCAAATGGTATTAACTTCATCATAAGTGCATGTTTTGCTCAGAGGTATTCTGTATTATCTCATTATCAAGTGCAACTCAGCATTCATTAATATGAACCATTAAAATATTAATTAATATTCCAAGCATAATACTTGAAACAAAATTTATTTTTTAAAATTTTCTGTTATTGCTGATTTTGGTATTAACTGAGAATCCTCTAATATAGTTAACTACAACACAGGAGCAGAAATACCAAAATGAGAAACATAGCTTAGAGCAAGCATTCTGAAATGTCTACTGCTAAGTGTAAGAAAGCAGTTTCATTAGAGACTTGCTTTCATCTTTGAAAAGACTACATGGGCTTTTCTTCTCTTCGTAGTTGCTTGTCAAAAACTAAATCTAGCAACGGTGATCCTTCCTTGAAGCAAGACCAACCTTTAGTTTACTGGAAGTTGAAAGTCTGAGAAAATAATTACATTTTTGGCTGCTACATGCAACCTCTCCTCCTATTCTTCACAGCATATTGTGTGTCAATTTACTCCACAGTTAGGATTACTGTCCTTACTGATACCAGCCACAATTAGGTGCCTTCAAATCTTTCTCACAGGCATGGCTCCTCACTTAATGATCACTCTTGAGGAAAGGAAGCTGTTCTGCTGGTCCCACTTTGGAATTACAATAGCCAGGCATGTTGAAAGTCATTCTGGTTAACTGAAGTGGCTGGATGTTTAGGGAAAGTGCTTATTTGTTATTTTTTTTTAAATCAGTTCTTCCTTCTTTAAACAGCTATCTTCAGTCTTGAAGCATCTATTCTAGGCCCACCCTTTGTAGCATCCAATTCATTGTACTCTTCTATTAGGTCAGACAAAGAGGATATAGCTTCTGAAAAACAGCTTTGCTCCATCCCATCTATTTGCAGATAATGGTGAAGGTGAGCCTAAGAGGATTAAAAAAAAAAAAAAAATCAGTGTTATCCTTTTCTTGGTATTTGATTGCTTTGGCTCAGAAAATACCAGTTAGCCTGTACTGAAGGGGGGGAGGGCAAGCAGTGTTGAAATGGCACTTAGAAATTTATATCACGACATCCCTTGTTTAAACACTCGGCAAGTTTGGTAACAATCCCCTAGTGAATCACAGTCGATATTACTGACTTCCTAAAATCCATCTTTTCATATTGTGTTCTTGGGTACACCAGACCAGCTGTGGATTGGGTTTACATGGCAGGGTTTTGGCAGCAGGGGAGTACAGGGCTGCAGGGGTGGCTTTTGTGAAAAGATAACAGGAGCTGCCCCCATGCTGAACAGAAGCATCCCAGCCAGCTCCACTATGGACCTGCCACTGGCCACAGCTGAGCCCACTAGTGATGCTGGCAATGCCTCTGTGACAGCTGGGGGGTAAAAACGCTGCACAACAGCTGTGACAGAAGACTCAAGAAAATGTGAGAGAAACAGTCCTGCAGATACTAAGATCAGCAAAAAAGGAACAGAATTCTGAGGCTGGGAAGAAGGCAGTGGAGTGGGGGTGAAGGTGTTTTCAGTTTTTTTATTTTATTTTTTGCCATCCTACTCTACTATTATTGGCAATAAACTAAACTAATTTTCCAAATGCCAAGTCTGTTTAGCCCATGACAATAACTGGTGGTTGTTCTCCCAGTCTTGATCTTGACCCACAAGTTTTTCACTGTACTTTTCTCCTGTCCTGCTGAGGAAGTGAAGTGAGAGAAAGCTCAGTGGACTACAAGGTTTAGATTAGATATCTGGGAGAAATTATTTACTGTGCACTGGAACAGGTTGCCCAAAGAACCTGTGGATGCTGCACCCCTGCAAGTGTTCTTGGCCAGGTTGGATGGGGCTTTGAGTCACCTGGTCACACAAATAAAACCCTTGGGCTGTTAATTATAAACAGTCTGTTCACAACACTAAGATCTGGGTTTCAATAATGCAAGATGCTAGTGATTAGTGACTATGGACATTATAATGATAAGAATTGTACCTTTTTCTTGTAGAGCTTCATAAATCTGTCTTTGAGTTCAATGAAAGTCGGTTTTACACAGGTGTTGTTTGCTAAAGCCAGAAGGGAATGGGAATGACCCACAGGAGGTACTGAACACAAACCAGTCTTCCAGCCCTCTTGATTCCAGGAGACAAAGTGCAGAGAAGGCTTCAACCTGTGATACAAAAATTTAATTAACTAAGAAATATAAAGAACACAAAGGCTAACAACTAAAAGTTTCAACTAACAGTCTGAAAGATTAACATTTAAGCACTCAGGATTAAGGAGGACAGTTTTAACTATCACTGTGAATAAGATATTTTAGACTTCAGACTAAACCACTTTTTCTCTATGTTAAATTTAAATTGAAAACATGCACTGTGTTTTGTTAATTTAATGCATCAGGATTTGAAATGTGAAGTTACAAGTACCTGTTTCTATAAAAGGGACTGGAAGCACTCTGAGATTTAATAAAGGGGCAGATTAATAGTTTGTGAAGGTAATCAGTCTACCTGTAGTTTTGAAACAAGTAAAATACTTTAGAGATTCCCAGAAATTTTTCCCCATGCACCCCTGTCTGCCTATAAATTCCATTTTGCCTGCCTTTCCTGTTACACCTATGTAGCTCAATACTGTTAAAGAAAATGGGTGTTAACACAACACAGAGTTGTTAAAATAAAGATTATTTCCTACCTATGTGAAAGTAACCATGGAAAGAGTAGGGCCTTCTGTTCAGCAAAAACAAACTTCTACTACACAACTCATTACTCCAACATCCTTTGCTGTTGGGAGACCCCTGAAAGGGTGGACTTTGCTTTTTTTTGCAATTTTGAGGAAGACAGGAGTAGCACCTCCCTTTATTTGAAAATCCAGGAATAGCTTTTTTTCACACATTACATAAGTTAGTTATGTTTTCTTCCCTTCTAAAATTAAGAAAAGGAAGTTGGAGTAAACTGATTTGGTATTGAAACTGTTCAAATGAAAAGCTGGAATGCTCTGGACAACTGCCAATTTCTGTACAAATCCCATGACTGCTCTGTGTGGTATTACAAACCTTTCAATATTTCTGCGAAGGTCTGAAACCTGCACATTTCCTCGAACAAGAAGTGCACAGGCCAGGTAGAGGCTGTGCTTTGGATCTGCTCGAATTAGTTGATGATCTCTGCTAAACGCATCTGAGAACATCTGATCCAACCTGGGTGAAAAGAAAACAGTTATCTATTCTTACTAAAGTAGGATACAAAGGTTCTTCAGAATGCCCCCCTTCAGGGTTTAAAAGTTCATAAAATCCTGGATAAAGGTACATTTAACCCAGGACCATATATGATAGGAAAGATTCAAACCTTTATATGTACATATGTTGGTAATAGAGTTTTTAAAAACACACTAGATCCATTTTTTCCTCAACCACAAGTTACAAGCCACTGTTGAATCAGAGAAGTTGCCTTTATAAAGGCAATTTGAGGCCAATGGTTACAAAGTCTAAAAATTTTGTAAAAGGATTTAACTACTTGCGGTTCTGGTTATGTGGCAATTTGAGTGGACAATCTCACTGGGAAGGATCTGACAAGGGATATCAAAGTGCTGACCCTTACAGAACTGATTATCTGCCTGTTACACTTCATTATTTAAAAGGATCAATGAGTCATAGAACTGTATTAATTTTGATTAATGATTTGGGAAAAGACAGGCTATATCTACCTGCCTAGTCTACTTATTCTAATTTTATCACACATGACTACTTTAAAAGATGACACTGCAGATCATATTCTTTCTCTCTTCACTTCCTTAACCCAGTTTCACTGTACTGTGGGATACCAAAGATGGTGTTCTGTGGACTCACAACATCTAAGCTATTCTTTCCACTTGTTCCAAATACTGTACATTTATAAACTCTATTTCTTTTTTTCTTTTATCATCTCTGCCACAATCTGCCTATTGCAAAAAAATAAAGGGGACAAAAATATTACTGTTCCCACTTCATTCTGAAACATCTTCGACCACCTCCTCATAGTCAGCTACCTTCCCCCCAGCCCTATACCATATCCTCAAGGTATGTTCTCAACAGATCTGACTGTCACAACTTGGAAAATAAGTGTGGTCCTGCCCTCTTCTCCACTTTGTATACTTCCATCACTTACCCTTAGCTGTCTCTACCACTATTTGTCTCTATCTCACTCTTGCTGACTGAACATAATCCACCAAACCCAGTAAAATCTATTTTAACTGGTAATTTTTCTGCTATGTCAATGGGATAAATATCTCACAAAATTTGACACACCAGCTTATCATTACAACAAGATGTTAAATAGGCTCACTGCCCTCACTGCATCTCCAGACTGAAGTAAGATAAATACTGAAGTATTTCCCCAAAGAGCCTAGTTAATCCCTTGTTTGTCTTTAGAGTATTTTGTCAGTCAACTGCAAGCTGTTACTCAAAAAAACTTGTGGTGTGGGTTCTAAGTAATACATTTTCCCAACAGAAACACTTCCAGCAGAGATTAAAAGCATGTCAAGTTTACTGGCTCAACCATTACACAGAAAAGGGACAGCAGATGTTCCATAAATCAGCAGGGTGAATTTGAAAATGTGGCAGATATACAAGTTTCAGAACTTCCACCCTTAGTTTGGCTACAGAACAGAATTTTTAAATGAAAACTATGGAAAAATCAGAAATTAAGCTTTAAATGTGAAACTCCAATAATATTTTTTCTTACCTTCTAGAAGGAACATTAACATCTGCCAGTGTATACAGAGGAGTCAAGCTTGAAACCAAATAATGAAGTCGAGGAAATGGAACCAAATTCATGCTGATTTCATTAAGATCCATGTTTAGGGAACCTTCAAATCTAGCAGAGCTGAAAAATTAACAAATTACTATGAAACTGGACAAACTAAGTACATCACTTCTATAAAAAAGTGAAATCTATTTTCCAGCTGTTCTGTACAATAAAACTGTAAAACAACACAGCATTCAAGCAAGTGTTCGAGTATAATCACAAAACTTTCACATCTGTCAGTAACAGTGCTATGTCTTACTTATACCTCTCATTAAAGAAGAGTAAGTTACCAAGAGTGATTCCTTGTTTCCCAGCTGGAGTCTTTAGCATTGATTTATTATCATTCATAATGTTTAATACCACTTAATACTGGTTAATTTATACCAGCTGGTTAATACCAGTTAATTATTACCCCTTTTACTAAACAGGCTATAGTAAAACACATGTGACTTAGCATTCCTGACAAGCTGTTTAAAAGAAAAACAGGCCAACCAGAAGTATAAAGTATATTTCTAGCAGTTTATGAGCACAGATGATCCGACAATATTTACAAAATAATGCCTAGAAAGACAAACCTCCGTGGGTTCCATTATGCACTTGTAAAAGACAATTTCCTTCTGCCTATAAACTTACCTCAGGTTTAAGACTATCATGGCTAAAGCAGCACCACTACAATCTGAATACTTCCAAGTACTTTAGCATTTAGTAACCAGTTCTTATAAAGACAAGACTCATATTGTAATATAAGGAAATAATGTAATTACTACTACTCAAGTTGATGCAGGCCTGCATATTTACAGCACCCACCACCTCCAGCAATCCTACTTTGTTACAGAGGAATAACCTGTAACTTTACCTGGTCAGGTTCAGCAGCAAGTTGGCGACGATGTTATTCATCGCATCAAATGGCTTCTCAGGTACTGTTTTTGCACTGCCTGCACTTGATGTTACCAAGCTGTTTTGCTTCACAGTTGATCCAAACTTCCCAGAATTGGTCATCTGATGAATTTTATTAACTATCTCAAACAGAGACTTTAAAAGAGAGGAAAAAAAAAAGCACAGAGGTAGTCTTGAGTACAGAACTTTGAAATTCAGTACAACACATTTAATTTCTAATAATCTTGAAAGCTCAGACATTGTAATGTTAGGTTAAAGATTATACCTTGATACATCTAAGTCCAACTTTTGAGCAATTCCAGTGATTAAAGTGTTTCTAAGTCTGTGCCTTACATATCACAAATATATACACAGCTTGACTCAGAAGTTTGAATTTTATTCAATTATTCAAAATGCTTATGAAAATTTAAAAAGCAGTTTTAGAAGAGAACACCTGTGAAGCAAAAAATGTAGTTTTTAACTAAATTTCATTTTCTCTTGCTTTTTTCATAAACAAACAGCAAGACAGCCACTGAAGCTAGATTCAAATGAGTCTAGCACTTTGCAAGGTCAGGTATATCTATGATGCCCATATCACTAATCAGCACGGTTAAGCTTGTTGGAATCTGGAGAGATCAGAGGTCCTTGAAGCACCCTACTAATACCATGCACAAATTGATTGTTAAAAGAATTGAAGACACTATCTCAGTAAATAGAAGCTTTTCACTGTTTATCCTGAAATAGACACGATAAAATTTACTCTACCTTAGTTTGAAGGAGCAGAGCAACTTTTTAGTGATACCCATGTTCATTTCAAAAGCTTGCAAGTGACTTAGAAGATAAATGATTACTTTAAAAACTGAAATTGTGCTTTCAGATATTTTGTATGCAAATCAGTACTGAAAAGGAAGAGACATTTCCACATTCTAATAAAAAAATTACATAAATAGTATATTATTTCTTACTTCATTTTCTATTGGTAGCACACAGTCTGCATGTTCATTAAGCTCCTTCATAGCCAGAACACTGTTATATGGAGAAGTAATAACATCATCTTCACCAGAAGGATAAACTGAAGTAACAAATCTATATACTTCTGGGAATTCCTCCTCAAGCAAGTTTAGTACAAAAGTTCCAAGACCAGATCCTGTCCCTAATTATGAATGAAGACAGAATGAGAGAACACAGGTTCCCCACATTATCTTAGGCTCTACGACTCATGTAGGAGACATACAACTTTTCAATTATATATATTAATGAATATTTTCTGAAGCATTTGGCAGACAGCAGAGGGTACTCAAATGTTATTAAGGCAGGAAGGTTTGTCCCAGACAGGAAATTAATTATGTAATAAAATTATTTCCCACAGTATGCCAGTCAGAATGAAGAATACATTCTCAAAGATTTCTGCAAACCAAATAGTTCTATGATGTAACAAACATTTTTCTGACCTAGTATTTCGACTTCTTATTTTGAATTCTTTAATTTGAATTATGAAACACAACATTTGCTTAAGAGCATTGAACTGCCCCAAACAGTACTATTTTCATTTTAGGGTTTCTTTATGAAATTTCTCATTCTTCAGTAAAAACAGAACTGCCCCTTCCCCCCAGCAGACAGGCATTTTTCCTCATTAACACTAAGCACACAGCCCTGAGTTCAAAACAGAGAACTGAACTGTGGTCTGTTTCTGAATATTCAGCTACATTCTCAGTGGCAGACAATTTAATCTATGAACAAGACTGCAGTTTTCAGAATAACAGAAACAGTACCTCCAGGGTATCTGAAATTAAGCCACAAAAAAGGCCTTTGAAAAAATCCTTGCTTCATATTTAGAGCTATTTTCTGTGTCTTTTTCCACATCATAACCAGTTATAATACATGCTACTCTCAGATTTCTGGGATAGGAAGGCTTAATGGCAATGCAATATTGACAAAACTTACACCACAAAGGATTCCTCCTTTTGGCTTATTAACTAACTAGATCAGATTCAAGAGAATTATGAGGGAGGAAAACAGAAAAACAAAGTTTTTCCAAAGTTAAGCAACATTAGAAATCTCCTTCAAAGCCTTTTGGAAAATTCTTTCCCCACAATTAAAACGATTATGACAATGCTGTCGGTGTTCAGAGGTCACTGACCCTTCTTCTGATCAGTAATACCTCAGTGTTTATCTTTGTTACCTGCCTTGACCTACTCACTGCCTCATGTTTAGAATTTTAGCTGCATTTTTGTTCTGGGTAGCACATCAGAGCTCTTCAGTGCTCTAATATAACTAGTGATAAATAATTACAGGTCCACTTAATTGTACTATGTTAATTTTTTTAATCTGCATTCTGAATGATGTAGATTATTATACTGATTTTCTTTTCAAGATCCATGTTTTGTTTTTTTTATCTATTGCAGTCATACTCCCCATAAGAAGATTACTTACCACCTCCCATGGAATGAATTATAAAGAAACACTGTAGACAATCACAATGTTCAGCAGTTTTTCTCAGCTTTTCCACTATGTTTTCCCGGTACTGACAGCCATATATCTTATGACCTACAGCCCTGAGGATATGAAAAGTACTTTAAAACCTCCCCTCAAAAAATCAAACTAAATTTTTAATTTTAAATCCTTTTTAGAGTTCAGGGTCCAAAGCTGGGTGCAACACCTCATCTATGAGAGTTTCTAAGTTGTGACTACATATGAGCATATGGGAGTCAGGACATGGTTTTAAATTGGAGGATGCAAAGAGATCTAAGTTCACAACTTTGGAGTATACACTTATTACTCTGTGCTGAAAAGGAAATAAACTCCCATGCTGGATAATCCAATAGTAGTAATGAAAGCTACATAGTCCTTAACAATAAAGATATCCCTATGTAATAAATGTGCAGATAATCTTTTGAGTACTATGCAAGTCAGTTGCTACTAGTAACAGAACACCCCCATTTTCAACACACTTGTCTGCTAGAAGATAGTAAAGTTGGTAGATGGTAAAGACTGCTTTACTCTCCATATTGCACTCTCTTTTGGTACATTTGCTGGTGATTTGCTTTCCAGTCTGTAGTGCACTGAATATTATTACAGCACCTTAAGGTCTCTGTAAAAATTTGGAATTCATTATGTTAACCAATTTTTTTCTGAATTTTTCTTTTAGTAATGTAGTTTACATGCACAAAGTCAGACTGCTTAGAAATCAGAAGTGCATTTGTTCATATATCTCATTTCCACAGTAGCTGCACAGTCTCAAGCTAGATTATAGCTTCGACTCAGCAATGAAAGCAGCTGAACGCCAAAGAAACAAAAATAAAAAGCATGCTCTTTTGTAAAGAAAATCAAAAAAGAAGAAGAAAAAAAGAGAAAAAATGATATATCAGCAGAATTATTCTTCTGTAAAAGCATTTTCAAAGCCCTCCTCCAGGCAACAGTGACTCCAAGTTTGCTGGTAAAATGCTGCAGCTCTCCAGGTGCAGAACGAAAGCTACGGTTTTCATTCCCCCTTTCAAATGCCATCTAATTAGCTGCTAAGAAATGTGTTCTAAAGAGGTTCTCACCAGTTGTTTCCTGAACCAGAAACATCTGTGATAAGCTGCTTGCTATCAAACACATCCCTCAATGGTCCCTGTAGAATTTCATTTACCACACCCTCCTCCATGTCAATCAACAGCGCCTTCAAGAATGGAAAGAATTTAAATTCAGTCAGTAAGCAAACCACCCTTGAAATAATCACACAAAGAAATATGAAATTATTGACAATACCAAAGGAATTCTGTTTTTACTCTGCTCCACAGAAACCTTTTCCCACCCCAGTTGTTAACTAGGAGACCAACTAGATTCACCTTAGCTGATTGTTTAGCTAGGACTGCATTTCAGATGAAATTTTGTTAAAATTTTATAAAGTTTTGTCCCACTACTTAGGAATAAAAAAATTAAAACATTTTTATGTTTCAAGTTTCCTTGCTTCTTAATCATTTAAAGTGGCTCAAAGAAACCCAACCCTTAGTTAATAATATCTGCAATCATTTTATTAAAATTCCAATATGAGTTACTCAACAAGACTGGCAGCAAACTGTATTTACTGCATTAATAAAAGTTAATATTAGAAATCTAACTTTCAAAGCAATACTTATACCTGCATGCAATTTTAAGAACTTCATGAGAATTCCCACACAGTTGGGCATAAATATTCAAAGTAAAAACAGTGACCTTTATAGATTGCCTTACTCGTGCTTTTAAAGAGCAGATTTTTCCTCTGTAAATATCAGGACCATTATCACCACTTCTGAAAATAAAAAAAACCAGAAAAATCAAAGATCATATTTGCAGCATAAAATACATACTACAATAAAATTTTATCGCTTATATATTGTGTTTGGAGGACTATGACAATGCAAACAAACAGAAACACCCTGAACATGCTGCTAATAGCTTATAATTCCTGAAAGTAATGCAATTACAGCACATGAACTCAACCAGAATTATCCTAAACATTACTTCAAGAAGCTGAAAGACAAGCATAAAAGTTTACTCTCAGATAGAGCCTCTGCTTAGTAGCAATGCTACAAGCACTGCCAGAACTGGAAAGGATTATCTTTTATCAGCATGTGATACATGTATCCACATCAAACAATGGAAAAAAGCTACCCATGAGTTTTTCAGTGGGAGCAGTACAACACTGCTCATGCTCCAGGTGTGAAAGCTCTGTAACTGCACCAGCACAGTGCTGGGCTTGACTTATTCTGCTTATTATGATTTACCAGCTCAGAAATCCTGCTGGGCTGACACAGCTAAATCCTCCTTCTTTCCCAGGATTGGTTGTACTGAGCCAACACAGCAGACTATACATGATGTTACAATTTTCCCACTCAAACGATGAGACACTATGGTCTGGCCAAACTGTATTCAGCACAAGGAGAGGAAAAAAGGCAGGGATACTGGAACACTTATTTCCTCTTCCATTACTTACCTAATCTGGGAGCTGGCCAAGCCTAAATTTAAAGTATGTCTTAAGACCATACTACATTTAGCCACCATTATATTCACAAAACATCAGCTAAAATTCAGCACCAATGTTCTGAGCCTACTGAGTCCCATCAGGGACAAGGGGAAGAGAGTACAGGGTTGCACTAGATTACTCAAGAATTTTCCAATTTGTCACTCAAACATGGTCTCTAGGTGAGCAGCTCACAGCAGCCTCCAATACCCATGTGATTCCTCTAGCCCTCAGGACACCTGCAGGACTACACTATAGCACCAGTAAATCCTCCTAGAGAACTTCTCTTCAGGGACTAACAGAATTCAAAGAGGAAATAAAACCAACCCCAAAACAACATTTATTTTTTTGATCTACCATGTAATCTCATGAACTGGTTGATAAAACCTTACCTCGGATCTACGTTCCTAAAGAAACTGCTTAAGGCTTCATCATAAATTCCTTTCTGAAAGGAAACAACACAAAATTATGCGTAATGTCAAAAATTCTCAGTGTTTTTTCATGGAATAATTTAAGTTGGCAGGGACCTCTGAAGGATACCTGTCAAACTTCACAACTTGAAACTGAGTGAACATCTCTGTAGAACCCAGCTAGTTCTAGTCATCTCCAAAAAGAACACTTCATTGAAACATCAGCTTGTTATTAAAGACTGAGAGAATGTAACTAAGAAATTAATTTGTCAGCACAAGATTAAGCAACTGTAGTAGTCTACTGAAGATCCCAATGCAATGATTAAATTGAAGAGCTGCTCTTCAGTTGACTCAGTTCATCACTGATACAACTCTCAGTTCATCATGAGTTCCAAGGCTGTGATACCAATGCCCATGGAGTTCTGCAAAGAGGACAGCCCAATCACACTGATTCCTGAACTCCCTGCCAAGGGTTCAAGGGGTTCAATGGCAATTACTTACCCCAACATAAAACTAAAGAGATCTGACAAGTTTAAATACCTTAAGTGCTTTATAGTCACAGCAAGAAGAGTGTGATTTTGTTCAGGGTACTCAGCACAATCCCATGCCCTCTTCATGTTGCTATTTTGGTCAGTAAAACTGTACAGCAAGCCATGGCATGGGCTAACATGGAAAACAATGGTGGGCTTTAGAGGTGTCCTCTTTTGCTTTACTGCCAGTGGCAAAGTACCAGCACTGAACAGCCCTCACTGTGTTGTTAACAGCCTCAGATCTGGCTGTAGGCAGACACACTGAGCTTTCAGGGTGCAAATTTTGAAGAAAGCCGGCCATAATTAGTGATCACAGAATATTCTGAGTTGGAAGGGATCCAGAAGGAACACACAGTCCAACTCAGCCCTTCAAAAGACACCCCAAGAGTCACACTATGTGCCTGACAGTATTGTCCAAATGCTTTTTGGGCTCTGACAGTCTTGGTGCTGGGGAGTCTGCTCCAGTGGCCAACCACTCCCTGGGTGAAGAACCTTTTTCTAATATGTAACTTAAATGTTCCCTGACACAACTTCGTTCCTTTGGGTCCTGTCACTGGTCATGACAGAGATCAGTGTCTGTCCCTCCTATTCCTGTCAGGAGAACATTGCAGACTGCCATGAGACCCTCAGTCTCCCCCAGGCTGAACAGACCAAGTGCCCTCAGCTGCTCCTCACATGGCTTCACCTCAAGACACTTCACTATCTTCGTGGCCCTTCTTTGGACGTTCTCCAACAGCTTGATGTGGTTTTTTACATTATAGCACCCAAAACTGCCCCCAGCACTCGAGGTGAGGCCGCCCCAGTGCAGAGCAGAGCGGGACAATCCCCTCCCTTGCCTGGCTGGTGATGCTGAGCCTGATGTCCCCAGGACACCACTGCCCTCCTGGCTGCCAGGGCACTGCTGACTCACGTTCCACTTGCCATTGACCAGGATCCCCAGGTCCCTTTCCACAGCACTGCTTCCCAGCCTCTCACTGCCCAGTCCGTCCGCACATCCAGCGTTGTCCCATCGCAGATGCAGGATGCGCTAATCCCCGTTAAACTTCTCACGGCTGGTGACTGCCCACCCTCTGATTTAACGGGGTCCCTTGAGAGTTAAGAGCTAACCTTACGTTTTGTTTTCATGATTAGTGACGGCACAAGAAGCTGGGGGTGGTTGTGCCCACAGTGAAGCGCCCTTGGTTTAAGCAAACAAACCCAGCGCTCTGCAGCCACAGGGACGGACGCGGGAGCAGGGAGGGCGGCTCGCCCGGGCCGGCGGCGCAGCGGCGCCCTTACCTTGTTGACGGCGGCGTGTTCCCGCAGCGCCAGGTCCCAGAAACGGCATCCCACCTGGTTCCCGCACTGTCCCACTGCAAAGGGGAGAGACACGGCTCAGGCACGGGGAGGGGGCGGCGGGACGTCCGGGCGCCATAAACCCCTTACCCTGCACCACCACCGACTGGGTCATGGCAGAGCCGCCGGTGCAGGCCTCTTTCGAAATCGGCGCCCGGAAGCCGCGCCCCCCGAGTTCCTGCGGTGGAACGTCCCAACCGGCGCTTCAGCTGCGGGCGCTCGCCGGCTGCCGGCCGCGAGTGGAACGTGCCATTAGGGAGCGGGGGGACAGCGCGGGGTGTGGTGAGGTTTGCATACACTCGGAGGGTCTGAGGGGGACCCGAGAGGGGCTGCGGGGTCTCGGCTGAGGCCCAGATACAGGAGGCCTGACAAAAACCCAACATAAAGTCTCTGTACAGGAGAACAAAAGTATTTCCATACACTGCAGTTCATTATCCTCTATGGATAAAATGTTGCAATAATAAAGCGCTTTATTTTCCCCAAATACATAATTCAGGGAGATGGCGTGAAATGTGTGAAACGGTATGAAAATACAAACTAAAAATTAAATGAAAAAGCGGCCATTTGGAAACGCTGTAATGTACCCTCCCACCCGGCTTGCACATTAAGCTCAGTTTCATATTGAGCATATAATTGTTCACAGTGAAAAAACAAGGAGTGTAGAGATGCTGTTGTCTCAGCATGGCAAGGCTGGTCTGCAACACAGCTCGGCTGCAAAATCATAGAATCCTTTAGGCTGGAAAAGACCTTTAAGACCATCAAGTCCGACTGTTAATCCAGCACTGCCAAGTCCAGGACTAAAACAGTAAAGAATGTGTGACATGCAAAGCCTGCAGAAAGCTGTCTGGTGACACAGATGGCATTTCTGCTTCCTGTGGGAGGACAAAAGCAATTCCATGCAATCCAGTCCATTAAGTTTTATGGCTAAAACCTTCCAACAAAATACTCTTTTTCCAAATAGATTATTTGTAATGCTGGTGTACAAAAAAAACGTGCTAAATAAAATTTTTAATCCTTTTTTTTTGCTCCTAGACATGACATGGTAGAGATTAATTGTAGGTCTACAGAAAAATAAATTTGTAGTAAATGACTATTAAAAACAAAAAATCTTTCCAGACGTTCCTGCAAAGATTATGTATATATTGCAGCAAATAAAATATTGTACAGTATGCGTTATATACTAGAAATAGATACACAGAGTAAATTTGTGAAACTTAATTGAAATCATGTTGGTCTTAAGAAAAAGTACTGGGTGGCCCAAGTTTATGCAAGTGTCATGTATGAAATGTGTGAAAAGGACCAATGGCTTTAGTGTTATAGGCATGTTTAGCATGAGTACAGTACTACTGCTTCAAACATGTCTTTTCTATAAACTAATCACCAGTGTAAAACTACATGAATATTAAACAGGAAAGTAGGTAGTCCTTTCTCTCTGGACAGATTAGATGTAACTATAACTTAATTTTGTTCCCTGTGTTTTTTTTTAAGTGGTCCAAACTCATAGGCTGTGCTCTGTTCATGTTATTAGATGTCAAACTGCTTTTATACTTCTTGCCTACTGTCATGTCCTTAAAGTCTTCTCTTCACATGTCTTCTCAGCCTTAATTAAGGTTAAAAGCAGTACAACATTGCTTGTAAGCATTCTAATGCTTAATTTAAATTCTACAGAATCTCTTGATATTACTGTATCTGATTTTCTTTCTTCTTATGTAATTTGCTCCACTTTCGACTTTATTTTAGAATTAGTTGTATTTTTTGTGTCTATGTCCCATGAAGATTCAGCTTAGTCAGATTCACTCTATTGATCATGGTGTTGCAACAAGACACTCTGAGCTTTGGCTCCCAATGTTCTTTAAGTGGTCTGTGAAGGCAAATATAAAGTGATTATTCTCTTTGAGCTTGGAAACACCAAGAACTGTGAATTGACAACAGACTTATAGTAATATGTGTTTCTTACCCTTAATTTCTCAGTAGCATTTTGCTGATGCGTTATACAGGAATGGTGTTCCACAGCTTTGGGACACAAATTGGATAATTGCATAAATAACTTACTATGTTTTTTAGTGGAAATTAATCTCCATGGACCACAGTGAATCTGTGAATAACCCTTAAATCCCACACTGTAACAAGAGCCAAAAGTGCGTCACAAGTTAAATATGTGTACTATGCTTTCAGCATCTTTTTAATAAGTCATTTGACTATTTAGACCACATGCTGCTGTAGGGAGAATACACTGGAATTTGAACTAATGTTATCCTTTGACTTACATTGTGACTTAGTTCACATATGAAGGTTTGTTGGTTTGTAATTTTGATTTTTTTGGGTCTATTTTTTGTATGTTTGAGTCTTTTTTAATTTAGAATTGTTGTATTTTGGGAAATTACTGTCAGGCTTGTAACACTTCATCTTTCATTTTTCTGTTCAGGTTGTTGTCCATACACTGTGTTCTTGAGGAGAAGGGTATTCTCTACAAATCTTGAGGTGTAAGAGATGGAGGGGGCTGAGATCTCATTTAAATCCTTTATTTTGGAGCAGTTTCCTGAGCATTTGATCTTGAAATTGGTTTCTTTATTACATAGTCCTGCAAATGTCCAATTTCAGAATATTTTGAGATACAGTAACAGTGTAGTTGCAGCCCTGATTTAGATAATGGCTATAACAACACTTATTAAAACCTTGAAGGTGCCAGGGAAAAGTTGTAATCTACTTAGAGTCAGTGCTCATTTCTTGTAGGCTTTCTGCAGAATTTAGATAGTTATGTTAAAAATGGAAATGGACAATCTGAGAATGTAACTCAGAACTTGAAGGTTTTTCCCAAATCTTTGTAGATGAAGGCTTTTGTACTTTGAAGGTATAATTTTTAAGATAGATACAGGAGACAAATTGAATTCTGGGAAGATTTATCTTTAGCCAGTTGCCCTCTCTTAAACTCCAGCAGCCCTTAAAATGAGTACAAAGGTATGTGCAATATAATGCATCACAGACTGGCTTTCTTTGGCACATATGAAATGGTAATGTTAAAGGTCTATGTGGATGTTGGGGGCAGGGAAATTTACATTATTTTTTGCTCTCTCCTGGATCTGCAAGTATCCTCTGGTTAATTGTGTTTTTCTTTGCAAACCCTGTTCTGCAGAGGGAAAACCCACACCTCTGAAGCCTACAAGGGAAAATTGATGAAGACACCCTCCAAAACAGTGCTGTGTTTGATTAGCTGGTGATATCGTAAAGAGAAGTAAATTGAATAGTAGCAGTTTATGAATTTTAATTGGTTTTTATTCACATACTGTTTTAGTGTATTTTTAGTTTTCCGTATATAAAGTATGCAAAGGACTGATTAAATCAGAAAACTCATTCTTAAACATAAATCCACACAAAGAAACCAAATCACATTGCAGCAAATATGACTGAGAGAAATATTGTTTATTCACAGAGCTTGGATATGGATATGAGAGAATATGCTTTGGTTTGAAGTAGGTGTGAGACAGAAAAACATTCTGAGTATGTGTGTACCAGTTAACATACAATGCTCCTCTTAATACCAGCATTCACTAAACTCTGATGCTCTTAGGGGCCACAAGCATTTGCTATTTCTGGCTATCTCTGCTGAGCAGCTGCAGGCAACTCAAAAGGAATTTCAGTAATCCTTGTAACCAACATATCTGAGCAGGGAATCTGCTGTTCTTTTCGCTCCAGCAACAGGGTCCTGGAGACCAGGGCCTGAGGAAACTTAGCTCGTGTTGTGGTGTCATGAGCTTTTTTGAGCCAGTCTAACAACTCACTGGCACTGGGAAGAGAGAGACTTCCTTTTTTACCCCTGCTCCCAGCTGTACAGCTCTGACACCACCCATGGCCTCTGCAACCACTGGGAACCCAGCTCATTGGTCTGAGGGTATTCACCCTCAACACCAATAATAAAATATTCCTGAAGCAAAAGCCCTAAATTTTCTGTTCCATTTCTGGGTAGTAGTTGGGAGCAGAAAAAGCTGAGCAACCATACTGGTTTTGGTGCCTGAGACAAAGATGGCATTTGAAGGCTACTGGATTTAAGGATCCATGCCTGAACCAGAGAGACTGCAGAGGGATATTCTTCATGCTTGCTTCTCAAGTATGAGCAGTGGGCTTTGGAGTGAGGAAAAGAAGGGTCTGTATATAACTCCCCTGTGAAGGGGGTATCTGTAAGCTTGGAGTTGGAGAGGGAATCAGTCCTTGGAGCATTGTACCAGAGAGCTGCAGGGAAGGGAAAAGGGGCTGTGTTCAGGAGAACACAAGCAGAAGAGGAATGGTGCTGAAAGTGTGAGCAGAGCTGACAAGGCTGGTGACAGGAGAGGCAGTGGCTACTGGAGCCACACTGTGTTGTTCCCTTAACCCCAACACTGGACTCCAGAGGCAAGTGGAGAGTCTGTGATGGGGTCCCAGCTGCTGAAGAGTTCCTGTGCCCGTGTATCCAGAGGTTGCAGTTCTTTATCCAGAGTAAGCCAAGTCTCTGCAGTGTGTCAAAACCCTTTTTTCACCCTACTGAGAGTAGTAGGGAAGCTGCTGATTAGTGCTTACATATGTATCTTAGTCTGGTGGCTCTTCCATCCGTCCATGCTTTCAAGACCTTTGGATTCCAGTTTTCATTTGTGTGTTTTCCAGATGAATTCTTATTAATTTTCAGTCTCTAGAGTGTTGTCCTTTATTTTTGCATTTCAGAGTTTCTTGCTTTGCAGCTGGTCATGTTTTGAATTGGTTCCAACAATAATTTGCTCAACAACCATAAAACTTTCATTACTTTAATCTTTATTGCATTACTTTATACTTCAAAGAGAAGAAAGCTAAATGGCTTTGATTCCTTGTAGGTGATGATTGAAGAGACTAAGTTTTGCAAGTGATTTGTATCTATTTGGTGTGCAAGCCTACTGTGAGTTGAACCCTACCATTAACTTCATCTACCTTCTATGGTTATAGCACAGCTCACATTTGCAGCCCTTTGCCTTCTGTTTACATCTTCCTGTTTCACTCTTGGTTCCTCTGCAGCAGCAAATCTTCTGAAGGAACCTGTTCCTTGTTTGGGGATTTCTGCTGTAGACTGAAGTCCTGCAGGAGTCTCACAGGGAAGTGATGTTTTTGTATGAT